CGTGATTAAAGTCATTGACCACAGGCCGTTTGGGCGGAAGCCCATCGTGGGACAGTGCACCATCGATCTCCTGGAGAGCTTTCGCTGTGACCCCTACACCACCACAGAAGACATCGCCCCCCAGATGAAAGGTAGTGGATGGGAAATGGAAATTTCTACTTCCCTACGAGATGCCAGAATGACCTGTCTTTGGTGTAAACTCTTCCTGCTGTTCTGATAAACAGCCATCTCCTCTTGGGCACTTCCTTGGAGACAGTGTTAGCTAAAGAAAAGCAAAGTCTAGCTCGGGGTGTTCACTAGTGCACTCCTCTGTGGGTGCAGGAGGGGACAGTGCAAAGGCCGGGCTGTGCCCTGCTCCGGTCCCCAACAGCCCTCGTTTGTATCAGCTTGGCCTTCCCCTGTGGGAGAGCACCCCTGCACTGGTACCAACGCAGATCCAGCAAAGCTCTCTGAATACAATGCTGACCTTTTCCTCTAGGTTTTTTCCAACTTTCGCTCTTTTTTTATTTCTAAAGATCTGAGAAATGCTTGCATATCCTGCACAAAAATATACTGTGTATTTTTAGCAAAAAAAATGGCAACTAATTGCTTTCTTTAGAGGATCAAGCATACAGCCAGTGAATTATTTTACATCTTCTGTAAGTGTTTGGATTTCCAATCTGATGGAAATGTTTGGTAAGCTATTTTTCCGAGGCCACGTTGCCTTAATGCAGTCTCTGGTTGCAGTGAGCCTGCTCTCGGCTGCGCCGCGCCAGGAGACGGTGATCGAGATGGAGGACACGCAGCCCCTGCTCGCAGCTCAGGTAACCTCTGGACTTTCTCCTCAGTCCCTCTCTGGACAGACCTGCCAGAGACACCCAGCCTTCTGGGAAGCCACAGCCTGGCCCCTCGCACTGTGACACCACCCACAGCTCATCCCACCCAAACAGGCTTTCTGCAAAAACACCTCCTTTCTTTCCTTTCCTCTTCTGCCTTGCGAATCTCTCAACTGCTCCGATTCTTTCAGGACCACCTCAAGACAACTTTACTTTCCAGGTAAACAATAATTCACCTTGCAGAATTTTACCCTTGGCTTGAAACATGAGTGAAGATAAATTCCAGACAGTTACACTTTCAAGGAAAGATTTTCAATTATTTTACAACTGTAAAATGTTCCCCTTACCTAGATGATCTTTTCATAAATTTCTGGTGGCCTCTTTTTTAAAGGAAGCACAAAAGTTAGACCCTTTAATATAGTAATTTATTACCTTTAGGCTTTTAATCCATAACTTTGATTTTTCAAAAAGGCAGAACTTTTTATTTTCTTACAGAGATCCCAAAGTAAATACTGAATTTAACCTTTCCAACTCTCCCTGCTCTCTGAGTTTGTTATTGGCGGCAGTTCTTCTTCATCTCTTCTTCTGTATTTAATGTAATGATATTCAGGCTCTCACAGACCATCTTCTTCTATTTACTTTCATCGCACAAGTAAATTGTCCTGAATATTTCATTTAGAACATATCAAACTTTTATCTGAATTACACCTTCTGTTCCAATAGAAGCACTTTATTGCTGGTACAGAGAATTTTTATTTCCTTTAAAAATTTTAATGAAATAGATTTAAAAAAAGAAAAAATAGCACTTTGAACCAGCTGGCAAAAGTGATTGACTTTGTGTATTTGATTTCAACTGTAAGAGGGGAAAGTTGAAATGCTATGTAAGGTGAAACACGATTTCCTTTTGAGTTTGACATCACCCAAAAGAAATGTATTATAATGCAAGGTCCAGTGACAGCGTCCATATGAGAGGGAGATTATGTTCACAACTATTTAAAGTGAAATAAGTACCACTGGAAAGTGTAAGTGAAATGCAGGACACGAAGTGCCAGGATTTCCTAAGTTCCGTTGCAATTTGCAGTGTTTGAGCAGTCTGTCAGCAGCAGTCAGCAGAATGGCCTCTCCCACCGCGGTGCACGTAGGTACCTGGGGCGGGGGCCGCGGGGCTGCGCCGCGCTCGGCACTCGCTGCGGAGAGGGATTTTGGAGGAGATGGTGCTCGTGTAGGATTAGGGTATCCGTCTGCTGAAACTCTTACGAGATGGGTACCGTATGTATGAAATACTCAAAAACGTTTTTGTATGTCAGTTTATCTGGACTCTATGTACTAAAGCACAAAAATCAGCAGGAATTATTTAACCACACCATAATATTTAAACTTTATTTAAAAGTCCACTTCCTGGAGAATAAAATAAATCCACAGTAAATATAATTCTAACTTTTATAGGGATCCACTATGTCTCTTGATTTTCTTTCCATAATTTCTAGATGTTCAAAAAGCTAATAGTTCAGTGTTAGTGTCTTGCAAACGTGTAACAGTGTAGGGTGAAGTCACCGGGCACGCTACAAACCAGCAGTAACCGTTACATGTGAATATTTCACTCCAAAATCTCAAATTTCTCCTGTGGTGTTTTACTCTGGGTTTTGGGATTCTGCGAGCACATCCTGCTTACCAGTGGTAGTAGCGATAATAGTTCAGATATTGAAGATGTATCATTTGCTTGGGAAATTTTTAAAGAACGTCTTAAGGTTTTGATTATTTTTTTTTCTTAATCTCTTCTACCTTAAGCTACAAAGTGCATTATTTGAAGGTATATCTGCAGAACAGAAACGGGAGTAGCTCTGCAGGATGTACCAGAGCCATGGCCTGACCCACTGATGCCTTGGGCTTCTACTCATAAAATGTCTTCCATATTTCCTCTGCTTTGCACCAAAGATTATGGGTTATGCCTTTAAATTAAAACACCGGGTGTTAATCACACTTGCTGATCAGAGCTTCCAAGCGGGGTGCATGGGGCTTGCTCTTAACGGCCTCTCTGGGCATAATTACAATATCCGTCATGTAACTGGTGAAGCATTTTGGATTGTGCAGGTTGTTATTGCACTTATACCCATAAATCTATAACATACAAACTCGTTGATACTGTAATTTACAGTTCTTATTTTTTTCATACTCCTGAAAAATCCACAGCCTGTGAACAACTGAAAAACTATAGTACAAGGGAAGGCTATTAAGCATTAGCAAATTGTTTTATAAAGAAGTAAATGTTCAAAAAATGCAAAAAAAACCCCACCCCATACCTTTTACGTATGTGAATTTTGTTTGGAAAAGAATCTCTGGAATAGATTCGGATTTGTAAGTGTTTTTAAAAACCCTTTTTCATGTGAAATACATGAGCTGTGCACACTCTGCACTGCAGATGAAAGCAGGGGCCGAGGGAAGCAGAAAGTGGACTCCAGAGTGTGACGCTGCGGTGGCACCACAACAGAACAGAGTTTCTCTCAGGTTCCCTTGTTACCTGAAGAATAAAGCACGGGGTGATAATGTCCTGAAAACTTACCTTTTAATATTTTTGTACATATACGTATCTACACTCCAGTTTAATACCTAGGACATACTGCTAGCTGAAAAAAAAAAAAATCGAAACACATGGTGTCTGAATATATTTTAACAGTATTTATAAATTATTGATGTTAGGAACTTACTTTACATACATTCTGTATACAGAAACTAAACTTTTAAAGCCTTTTTAACTGTATAAAATTCTACAGATCCTATCCTTACCCTTGTTTTTATTTTGTTCTTTTTTATGACTTGATCCTCACGAGCAGCTGACAGAAAAGGTAACGTACACTACTTTTAAAGATCTACACATTACTTTCTCGTAAACGAACTGAAAAACCAGTGTATCAGACTGCCTTCTAAATGAGCATATCGAGTGTATGGATAAGAACAGGAATCTCTGAAAATATCTGACATAAAAGCTGTGATCTGCTTGTACTGACGACATGCTGTGTATTTTGGTTCACTTCACTGGTCACTGGTTCTCTGTACAGTGTGACAGAAAAGAGACTTTAGCTCCCAATAACAGATTTTTTTTATTTGCTTTTCTTTAAGGAGGAAGAAATTGTTGATTGGTGGAGCAAATTTTATGCTTCAGTAGGAGAACACGAAAAATGCGGACAGTATATTAAAAAAGGATACGACACTTTAAAGGTATTGCTCAGGATAAAGTAAATTAATGTATCTCAATGTTTATAGGCCTAAAACCCAGTCAGAGCTGGGCCCTTTGTTTTTTTTAAATGTTCTTCAAAATTTAACTGCCCACGTCCATTCCTAATTCACGTGGTGAAATTAAGGTTTTTAAGAAAAGTTATCTTTGCTTCTTTTCTACCTAACTACATTAATTAAGTGATATATTCAGAGTCTAATCCCACCTTCAGCCCAATGGGCTTTTACTGTGGGTTTCTCTGGGTGCCAGGCACCTCCTGCATCACCCTGCACATGGACAAAGTGGGACCCGGGGGCGCAGCGCTCGTACCCGCTGTTGGTTACAGGCTGAAGCCAGGCCCCTTCCCTTCCTCATCTCATACACCTAACCAAGAGAGCAAAGATAAGCTTCTGAAATGCTGTCTACTCATTTTTAACAGGGCCTAAATGAAGCCTGACAGCATGTTCTTCAAACATTGCATTTGCTTCCACTTGATGTCAAAATAAAAATAGTTGGAAATGCTTTGGTTCCTTAAGACATTCCATCAAACACACAATAGCCTTGGCAGTGTGATAAGTTCTGAACTGCACTTTTTCCTTTTTCTTTTCTTTTTCTAAGGTGTATGACTGTGAGTTGGAAAAAGTACCTGAGTTTAATAGCTTAACAGACTTCTGTGACACATTTAAACTATACAGAGGCAAATCTGAGGACAGCGATGATCCATCAGTGGTCGGGGAATTCAAGGTAAATTTCAAATGATCGGCAACAAACAAATGCTGGATGTGGGGGTGTGTGTGCAAGCCCAATGCTGGATGCAGGTGTGTGTGTGTATAACCCCAATGCTGGATGCAGGTGTGTGTGTGTATAACCCCAGTGCTGGATGCAGGTGTGTGTGTGTTCACACTGTGAAGAATTGTCTTAATACTTATTTAAGGAAGATGAGAGAAACTAATACTCGTGTTTGTCTTACCAGGGTGGCACCAACCTTCCGATTCTTCCCTCACAGCGAGCACCAAAGCTCTACATGGTTCCTCAGGGAATCAGACCGGTTGTTCAGCTCACTGCAGTTGAGGTACAGTTTGCTCTTAAACTAAGGGAACACACGTACGTCCCCTCAGCCTCTGGAGCAGGGCTGTGTATTTGCTGGTGCATGTTTCATAGTCAGAAATATGGGGGATTATTGTCTTTAAGTAGTTTTGAGTTTCATTTTTTCCATCAACTTCTCTAGAACAACCACCTTGAAATATTTTGCCTGACACATTTTATTATTGAAAAGACTTAATTTCATCACCGTATGTTTTGAGTATCATCTGAAGCATATTGGTATCTCTCCCACTTTGACTTGTGTTGGGTTTTATTTTACAGATTCTGGCTTGGGGGTTGCGAAACATGAAAAACTACCAACTGGCCCCTGTTATGTCTCCGAGTCTCATTGTGGAATGCGGGGGTGAAATGGTGGAATCTGTGGTGATCAAAAACCTCAAAAAGACACCAAATTTTCCATCTTCTGTTCTCTTCATGAAAGTTGTATGTTGCAAAAAACTCTATGCCAGCTATCGATACCAAAATCGGTTCTCCCCCACTTGGAAAGGGCAAGGATTTGTTATGAGAGAATGAGCAGAAAAACTTGCACATCCTTTTTTGATTTAAGAAATCTGCCAAGCCTGAAAATTCCAAATACAGATCATGTAAACGTCTGTAAGATGTTGATAAATTATAAAATTTTATATGCACAATCCAGTGTAGTATATATATATTTATTTGAAAAGGCACCTGTAGATGTGTGGCTGCTTTCCCGCTGCTTGGATGGGAATTGTGCAAGAGTCAAGAAAAATCAAGATTTGAGGCAATTAAAATTATTCTCATTGATGTTTATTGAACTGTAATATAAGGTTAGAAATCTTCCTTCACTGTACGGCCATAGAACATAGTAGTTCTGTGCAGCAGTAGTTTAACATCGTAGTAGTTAAATAAATGAAGTAACAGCTCAAACTTAGCGGGGGGGATATTTATTCTTCATTTTCCTTCTGTTTGTTTTATAACCAACCTCTAACCTTTTGTTTTCAGCTATTGCCAAAAGAGGAGTTATACAGCCCCTCTCTCGTGATTAAAGTCATTGACCACAGGCCGTTTGGGCGGAAGCCCATCGTGGGACAGTGCACCATCGATCTCCTGGAGAGCTTTCGCTGTGACCCCTACACCACCACAGAAGACATCGCCCCCCAGATGAAAGGTAGTGGATGGGAAATGGAAATTTCTACTTCCCTACGAGATGCCAGAATGACCTGTCTTTGGTGTAAACTCTTCCTGCTGTTCTGATAAACAGCCATCTCCTCTTGGGCACTTCCTTGGAGACAGTGTTAGCTAAAGAAAAACAAAGTCTAGCTCGGGGTGTTCACTAGTGCACTCCTCTGTGGGTGCAGGAGGGGACAGTGCAAAGGCCGGGCTGTGCCCTGCTCCGGTCCCCAACAGCCCTCGTTTGTATCAGCTTGGCCTTCCCCTGTGGGAGAGCACCCCTGCACTGGTACCAACGCAGATCCAGCAAAGCTCTCTGAATACAATGCTGACCTTTTCCTCTAGGTTTTTTCCAACTTTCGCTCTTTTTTTATTTCTAAAGATCTGAGAAATGCTTGCATATCCTGCACAAAAATATACTGTGTATTTTTAGCAAAAAAAATGGCAACTAATTGCTTTCTTTAGAGGATCAAGCATACAGCCAGTGAATTATTTTACATCTTCTGTAAGTGTTTGGATTTCCAATCTGATGGAAATGTTTGGTAAGCTATTTTTCCGAGGCCACGTTGCCTTAATGCAGTCTCTGGTTGCAGTGAGCCTGCTCTCGGCTGCGCCGCGCCAGGAGACGGTGATCGAGATGGAGGACACGCAGCCCCTGCTCGCAGCTCAGGTAACCTCTGGACTTTCTCCTCAGTCCCTCTCTGGACAGACCTGCCAGAGACACCCAGCCTTCTGGGAAGCCACAGCCTGGCCCCTCGCACTGTGACACCACCCACAGCTCATCCCACCCAAACAGGCTTTCTGCAAAAACACCTCCTTTCTTTCCTTTCCTCTTCTGCCTTGCGAATCTCTCAACTGCTCCGATTCTTTCAGGACCACCTCAAGACAACTTTACTTTCCAGGTAAACAATAATTCACCTTGCAGAATTTTACCCTTGGCTTGAAACATGAGTGAAGATAAATTCCAGACAGTTACACTTTCAAGGAAAGATTTTCAATTATTTTACAACTGTAAAATGTTCCCCTTACCTAGATGATCTTTTCATAAATTTCTGGTGGCCTCTTTTTTAAAGGAAGCACAAAAGTTAGACCCTTTAATATAGTAATTTATTACCTTTAGGCTTTTAATCCATAACTTTGATTTTTCAAAAAGGCAGAACTTTTTATTTTCTTACAGAGATCCCAAAGTAAATACTGAATTTAACCTTTCCAACTCTCCCTGCTCTCTGAGTTTGTTATTGGCGGCAGTTCTTCTTCATCTCTTCTTCTGTATTTAATGTAATGATATTCAGGCTCTCACAGACCATCTTCTTCTATTTACTTTCATCGCACAAGTAAATTGTCCTGAATATTTCATTTAGAACATATCAAACTTTTATCTGAATTACACCTTCTGTTCCAATAGAAGCACTTTATTGCTGGTACAGAGAATTTTTATTTCCTTTAAAAATTTTAATGAAATAGATTTAAAAAAAGAAAAAATAGCACTTTGAACCAGCTGGCAAAAGTGATTGACTTTGTGTATTTGATTTCAACTGTAAGAGGGGAAAGTTGAAATGCTATGTAAGGTGAAACACGATTTCCTTTTGAGTTTGACATCACCCAAAAGAAATGTATTATAATGCAAGGTCCAGTGACAGCGTCCATATGAGAGGGAGATTATGTTCACAACTATTTAAAGTGAAATAAGTACCACTGGAAAGTGTAAGTGAAATGCAGGACACGAAGTGCCAGGATTTCCTAAGTTCCGTTGCAATTTGCAGTGTTTGAGCAGTCTGTCAGCAGCAGTCAGCAGAATGGCCTCTCCCACCGCGGTGCACGTAGGTACCTGGGGCGGGGGCCGCGGGGCTGCGCCGCGCTCGGCACTCGCTGCGGAGAGGGATTTTGGAGGAGATGGTGCTCGTGTAGGATTAGGGTATCCGTCTGCTGAAACTCTTACGAGATGGGTACCGTATGTATGAAATACTCAAAAACGTTTTTGTATGTCAGTTTATCTGGACTCTATGTACTAAAGCACAAAAATCAGCAGGAATTATTTAACCACACCATAATATTTAAACTTTATTTAAAAGTCCACTTCCTGGAGAATAAAATAAATCCACAGTAAATATAATTCTAACTTTTATAGGGATCCACTATGTCTCTTGATTTTCTTTCCATAATTTCTAGATGTTCAAAAAGCTAATAGTTCAGTGTTAGTGTCTTGCAAACGTGTAACAGTGTAGGGTGAAGTCACCGGGCACGCTACAAACCAGCAGTAACCGTTACATGTGAATATTTCACTCCAAAATCTCAAATTTCTCCTGTGGTGTTTTACTCTGGGTTTTGGGATTCTGCGAGCACATCCTGCTTACCAGTGGTAGTAGCGATAATAGTTCAGATATTGAAGATGTATCATTTGCTTGGGAAATTTTTAAAGAACGTCTTAAGGTTTTGATTATTTTTTTTTCTTAATCTCTTCTACCTTAAGCTACAAAGTGCATTATTTGAAGGTATATCTGCAGAACAGAAACAGGAGCAGCTCCACAGGATGTACCAGAGCCATGGCCTGACCTACTGATGCCTTGGGCTTCTACTCATAAAATGTTTTCCATATTTCCTCTGCTTTGCACCAAAGATTATGGGTTATGCCTTTAAATTAAAACACCGGGTGTTAATCACACTTGCTGATCAGAGCTTCCAAGCGGGGTGCATGGGGCTTGCTCTTAACGGCCTCTCTGGGCATAATTACGGTATCCGTCATGTAACTGGTGAAGCATTTTGGATTGTGCAGGTTGTTATTGCACTTATGCCCATAAATCTATAACATACAAACTCATTGATACTGTAATTTACAGTTCTTATTTTTTTCATACTCCTGAAAAATCCACAGCCTGTGAACAACTGAAAAACTATAGTACAAGGGAAGGCTGTTAAGCATTAGCAAATTGTTTTATAAAGAAGTAAATGTTCAAAAAATGCAAAAAAACCTCCACCCCATACCTTTTACGTATGTGAATTTTGTTTGGAAAAGAATCTCTGGAATAGATTCGGATTTGTAAGTGTTTTTAAAAACCCTTTTTCATGTGAAATACATGAGCTGTGCACACTCTGCACTGCAGATGAGAGCAGGGGCCGAGGGAAGCAGTAGGTGGACCCCAGAGTGTGACGCTGCGGTGGCACCACAACTTTTTCATACTCCTGAAAATCCACAGCCTGTGAACAACTGAAAAACTATAGTACAAGGGAAGGCTATTAAGCATTAGCAAATTGTTTTATAAAGAAGTAAATGTTCAAAAAATGCAAAAAAAACCCCACCCCATACCTTTTACGTATGTGAATTTTGTTTGGAAAAGAATTTCTGGAATAGATTCGGATTTGTAAGTGTTTTTAAAAACCCTTTTTCATGTGAAATACATGAGCTGTGCACACTCTGCACTGCAGATGAAAGCAGGGGCCGAGGGAAGCAGAAAGTGGACTCCAGAGTGTGACGCTGCGGTGGCACCACAACAGAACAGAGTTTCTCTCAGGTTCCCTTGTTACCTGAAGAATAAAGCACGGGGTGATAATGTCCTGAAAACTTGCCTTTTAATATTTTTGTACATATATGTATCTACACTCCAGTTTAATACCTAGGACATACTGCTAGCTGAAAAAAAAAAAAATCGAAACACATGGTGTCTGAATATATTTTAACAGTATTTATAAATTATTGATGTTAGGAACTTACTTTACATACATTCTGTATACAGAAACTAAACTTTTAAAGCCTTTTTAACTGTATAAAATTCTACAGATCCTATCCTTACCCTTGTTTTTATTTTGTTCTTTTTTATGACTTGATCCTCACGAGCAGCTGACAGAAAAGGTAACGTACACTACTTTTAAAGATCTACACATTACTTTCTCGTAAACGAACTGAAAAACCAGTGTATCAGACTGCCTTCTAAATGAGCATATCGAGTGTATGGATAAGAACAGGAATCTCTGAAAATATCTGACATAAAAGCTGTGATCTGCTTGTACTGACGACATGCTGTGTATTTTGGTTCACTTCACTGGTCACTGGTTCTCTGTACAGTGTGACAGAAAAGAGACTTTAGCTCCCAATAACAGATTTTTTTTATTTGCTTTTCTTTAAGGAGGAAGAAATTGTTGATTGGTGGAGCAAATTTTATGCTTCAGTAGGAGAACACGAAAAATGTGGACAGTATATTAAAAAAGGATACGACACTTTAAAGGTATTGCTCAGGATAAAGTAAATTAATGTATCTCAATGTTTATAGGCCTAAAACCCAGTCAGAGCTGGGCCCTTTGTTTTTTTTAAATGTTCTTCAAAATTTAACTGCCCACGTCCATTCCTAATTCACGTGGTGAAATTAAGGTTTTTAAGAAAAGTTATCTTTGCTTCTTTTCTACCTAACTACATTAATTAAGTGATATATTCAGAGTCTAATCCCACCTTCAGCCCAATGGGCTTTTACTGTGGGTTTCTCTGGGTGCCAGGCACCTCCTGCATCACCCTGCACATGGACAAAGTGGGACCCGGGGGCGCAGCGCTCGTACCCGCTGTTGGTTACAGGCTGAAGCCAGGCCCCTTCCCTTCCTCATCTCATACACCTAACCAAGAGAGCAAAGATAAGCTTCTGAAATGCTGTCTACTCATTTTTAACAGGGCCTAAATGAAGCCTGACAGCATGTTCTTCAAACATTGCATTTGCTTCCACTTGATGTCAAAATAAAAATAGTTGGAAATGCTTTGGTTCCTTAAGACATTCCATCAAACACACAATAGCCTTGGCAGTGTGATAAGTTCTGAACTGCACTTTTTCCTTTTTCTTTTCTTTTTCTAAGGTGTATGACTGTGAGTTGGAAAAAGTACCTGAGTTTAATAGCTTAACAGACTTCTGTGACACATTTAAACTATACAGAGGCAAATCTGAGGACAGCGATGATCCATCAGTGGTCGGGGAATTCAAGGTAAATTTCAAATGATCGGCAACAAACAAATGCTGGATGTGGGGGTGTGTGTGCAAGCCCAATGCTGGATGCAGGTGTGTGTGTGTATAACTCCAGTGCTGGATGCAGGTGTGTGTGTGTATAACCCCAGTGCTGGATGCAGGTGTGTGTGTGTATAACCCCAATGCTGGATGCAGGTGTGTGTGTGTATAACCCCAGTGCTGGATGCAGGTGTGTGTGTGTATAACCCCAATGCTGGATGCAGGTGTGTGTGTGTATAACCCCAGTGCTGGATGCAGGTGTGTGTGCGAGCCCAGTGCTAGATGCAGGTGTGTGTGCAAGCCCAATGCTGGATGCAGGTGTGTGTGTGTATAACTCCAATGCTGGATGCAGGGGTGTGTACAAGCCACGCCAGCAGTTCTCAGGTAGGTTACTGTCAAGCATTTGTGTTTAAAGACATGTTATTGGGGCAGGAGATGCTCGTAGCTGCTGAGGTGCAGGCTCTGCTTTTTAAGGCAGGAACAGCTAAACATCACTCACACTGAAGGTGAGACGTGTTAATTGAAAACAGTCTTGTTGGTGCTTAAGAGACCTTCCCTGGCACCTGTGGAACAGAACCTGCCCAGAACCTCTTCAACAGGGATGAAGTTTCACCTGCAGATGTTCTGAAGGAAGCACATTTTTAGAATGAATTTGGAAAAGGTATTCTGTACTATTTCTGTGACTCTGTGACTTTTAAAGATTAATGTTAACATTGGATGTAAAATACAAAACCAAACAGAAAAATCCCCCAAACCCAAGCTTTAAATGATGTTTTTGGGGACGGAACCAGATATGAAGTATGTGTTACGTGTTCTCAGCTGGAGCAAACGGAGGGCCTGTGTTGCACTCCAAAGAGCTGCGCTGCCTTACATCGCTAAGGACATGCCTGTGCCTTTGCGGTCAGTCTTCGCTCACGTAAAACACAAGACCTCTACGTGACTGGGGACCAGGCTGGAACTTTGCTCTTCCAACATATAATGAATTAGAAAACCCAAACCTAGCAGAGTGACTTTTCTACATTTATCCTCACTGAGTGTTTATGTTATTTCAGGGCTCCTTTAAGATCTATGCGTTACCCGACGACCCCACTCTCCCGGCTCCCCCCCGGCAGTTCCGGGAGCTGCCGGACAGCGGGCCCCAGGAGTGCATCGTGCGCATCTACATCGTTCGAGCTTTGCAGCTCCAACCCCAGGACAATAACGGGCTGGTGAGACTTCTTGCTTTTGCAGTGTCTGTGAGCTAACTCTGCTGTAGTACACTTTAAACAAAATTAGCCTTGACAACTTTTTCTTAATATTTTTTCTTATTTTGAATAGTGTGATCCTTATATAAAAATATCCCTAAGTAAAAAAGTAATTGAAGACAGAGACAACTATGTCCCTAATACTCTCAACCCAATTTTTGGCAGGTAAGGAACTTTTTTGTGCTTCCAATTTATTGCATTTTAGAATGTTTTCCTATTTTTTAAGGTAGACGTTTATTTGAAATATCCAATGCTCATATTCATAGTTCTACACAGACAGTTAATTGTGAGCTGGGTTGCAGAAGGCATTTCCCTTTGAAACCACTGGACACGAGGGGTGTTTGGCCGCTCTATAGCTTCTCTGTAGCTCCGACTCAAACACGGGCTGTGTCTTCAAGCTGCTCTGTGTTACGCGTTCAAGAATAACAAAATATAAAGTTTTAATTCTGAAAAACTACTTGGCTGTCTCGATGAGTAATCAGCTTCACATGTATTCCCAGTGTGCTGGCCTTTCCTTCAAAGGCTAATAAGATCTTTGAAATACATTAATAGAAAAAGGCTAATTAGGAACAGAGAGGTTGCGTCATCTTTGTAATTGTTGAAAGTCTGGGTCTGTTTTGGTGTCCAGCGTTAGAGGAGGACTTTGATGAGTTAGAGGGTCAGGAGCGGAGGATGAGAAGGATTCCAGAGGATTGGGAAAGCACATTTCCCAGTGACGTGCTACAGGATTTTGCATGCTCAGATTAAGCAAAGAAATGGGCAGCAGAGAGACTTGATTACAGGTACAAAATACCTTCACCATTCCAAGTTTTTCCAGAATGATTCTGGAAGTCAAAGTTAAAAAGTTAGCCTAGAAATGAAGCAAACAAACAAAAGGATGAAGAGAATCATTAACCATACTTTACCTCAAGGGTAATGGATTCAGCAGCTGCAGAAACCGTGAGGCTACGTATCTTGAAAGTAAATTCAGAGAATCCATTTGAGAAAGCTGAAGTCTGTTTTGTGTAGGACAGCTGGATGACAGAGCAATCCCTTCCAGTCAGAGAAGCTAAACATTTGGACCATATTTTTTAAGGCTCCAACTGTGTTTGTATTGTGGTAAAAAAAAATCAAACATTTCTGATCATACAGAAACTGTGGATTGAAGAACCATCCCCTTTCCAGAGTGGCTGCAGAGCCACACCAGTTCCTTTCTCAGTCCCAATCTGAGCTGCTGCACAGGAAACATCTAAGTAATACCTTGTGCAGAAAGGGGGGCTGTAA